GAAAGCGGACACCTTCCTTCTCTAAAAATCATCATATCGCTAAATCATCGATTTTCAGTATCAGTCACGTAATCATATCATCCAATCTTCAACAATTATTCAATATAATAAAAAAGATCCTATTTTTACTAAATCTGTTATCAAATTAATCGCAATCGAAAATCGAAAATAACGATCGAAACAGAGCATCAGTTCATATCCTCATAAATACGAGATACAATCCTCAAATCGAAGAAACAAGCACCTCGCAATCATAAACAAAGCATTTGAAAATTGAATCAAAATCAATTTTCATAAATGATGTCGAATCCAAAAGAATTGACAAGTCAATCGCAACTGATACTATTATAGCTGAAATCAATTCATCTCGTAACGACGAACAAATCGATTCAATTTCTTTCACTTCTGAAGAACTTCAAAATACGATTCGTATTGAAGGTACAACTAATTCGTTTTAATACTACATATTACATTACAGTTTCTACACTTCATTCTGATTCTTTTATTATACAATATAAATTATGAAAAATCATATATGATTATACAATACAATATGTGATTTAATCATATAAGGATGAATAATCATATATGACTGTTCATATCTATGATTAATCATATGTATTTATAGTTTGTAATTATGATTTATCATATATGTTTTCAAATTGAAATCTATATTAATATTATATTTGGATGAATAATCATATATGATTATACATCATAAAATATGATTAATCATATATTACAAACTACAAATACATATGATTAATCATACATGATTAAACAATATCAAGTATGATTATTTATAAATTAATACGTATAATCATTTATGATTACACAGTATATTATATGATCAATCATATAATACAATGTACAAATACATATGATTTAACATCTAATAATATATTAATATCTAAAATCATATATGATTTTTTATACTAAAATATAAATACATATCGTTAATCACATATGATTATTACAACATAAAATTATATAATAACATATTTGTCATTCCCTTCTTTTATCAGGTGAAAGTTCCAATTCAACAAATGAATCATATTGCAGTAACATAATTGAAGAATCTGAATATAAACCAGATGTCCCTACAGAATTTGTACCAGTTGTAAACAGTGTTTTCAAATCACTAAATTTGGCAGTAAAAATGTATACGGATTATGCAGAAATGGCAGGTTTTCATACAAGACTGAGTAGCCAATCAAAATACAATAGCCAAATAATAAAAGAAAAATATGTTATATGCAATAGGGTGGCAAGGATAAACCAAAACCTTGTGATACGTTGGCTACAAGTTCTGTCAAGAGGAAACCAAATTCAAACAAGATAATTACTGGGTGTACAGCAAAGATTATATTTGAAAATGTTTATGGAACAACAGATTACAAAGTTAAGAAATTCTTTGAAATGCACAACCACCCACTGGAAAGTATTGAGGAAAGACCTTATACGAAAAAGGCAAGAAAGATGTCATATTCTGAAAAAGAGTTTGTAGTACGTGCATCAAAAGCTAAAATTGGTCCCACAATGGCTCACAAAATACGAGCAGTTTTGAAAGGAGGATATGAATATGTAGGGGGCGAAGGTAACAGACTACAAAAACTTGAGGAGAGGAGTAAATAGAATCTTATGTTACAAGGATGCTCAAATAATGATAAACAAAATGAATGATCGTAGAGATCATTACCCAAATTATTCATTTGAGTTCCTACGTGATGGAGATCTGTTGGCTGCTATGTTTTGGGCAGATGAAAGAGAAAAGGCTTTTTATGCAGAGTTTGGAGAAGTTATATCTTTTGATGCAACTTTTAGAACAAACAAGTAAGTTAATGTATATAAATTCAAACATACTATTAATCAAATATGATTGTACTAAACACATTTTCTTTATATAGGTATAAAATGGTATTTGTTCCATTCACAGCAGTTGACCACCACAAGAAATCAGTTACTGTTGGTGTTGGGTTGCTGAGTAGAGAGACAATTGAGTCGTATGAATGGCTGCTTAAAGCTTTTCTTAGAGCTCATGAAGGGAAAGCACCAAAAATTGTTCTAACTGATCAAGATGCAGCAATAAAACAAGCAGTGGAATCTGTCTTACCAAATTCAAGACACAGACTATGCATGTGGCACATAATGAAAAAACTGCAAGCAAAGGTATAATAAAAATACATTATATAATCATATATGATTATATAGTATTATGACAGATGATTAATATATGACTTATCAGATATCATACTATATAACCATATATGATTAACTATTCTAATAATATGAATTATCAGATACCATACTTACTGTATAAACATATATGATTACATAATATGTAATATGATAATACAGTATATAATCATATATGATTGATATAATGATATATAATTAAGTATTTTAATAATATGATTATATAATCATATATGATATATATGATTAATCATATATGATTATAATAATAAATTATCAATACATACTATGATTATGATGATACAGTATATAATCATATATAATCATATGATTATATAATACGATTGTATAATCATATATGAATAATCATATATGATCAATCCTACATTACAGTACATATATGATATATGATTAATCATATATGATTAATCATATATGATTACAGTACATATATGATATATGATTAATCATACATGATATATCCTACATTACAGTAATCATATATGATTAATCATATATGATTACTCATATATCATATATGATTAATCATATATGATTACAGTACATATATGATATATGTACTGTAATCATATATGATTAATCATATATGATATATGAGTAATCATATATGATTAATCATATATGATTACTGTATGTAGGATATATCATGTATGATTAATCATAACATATAGTACTTAATCATATGATTAATCATATGATTAATCATATATGATTACAGTACATATATGATATATGATTAATCATACATGATATATCCTACATTACAGTAATCATATATGATTAATCATATATGATTACTCATATATCATATATGATTAATCATATATGATTACAGTACATATATGATATATGATTAATCATACATGATATATCCTACATTACAGTAATCATATATGATTAATCATATATGACTACTCATATATGATATATCCAAATAGGTATATAATTTATACTTATATAAGCAAAGTTGTTCATTCATAGGTTACTGGCGATTTATTTAAAAACAAAGACTTCAAGAAAAGATTTAACAAGCTTGTTTGGAACATGCATATCAAACCTAATGAATTTGAAAAGAAGTGGGATTTGATTATTAATGAATTCAATCTAGAAGATAAAAGATGGTTCAATGATATATTTTAATTACATGACAAATGGATACCTGCATACTTCAGTGACACAAGAATGTCTGGATTGATGAAAATCACTTCAAGATCAGAAAGCATGAATTCCTTCTTCAACACTCACTCTAAATCTGGAAATTTACTTTTATATTTCATGATGAACTATGACATAGAAATTCAAAAACAAAGAAATACACAACAGGAGCTTGATCATCAAACAAAGAAGGCGGTATATAAATTTATTTCACCACGACCAATAGAAAAACATGCTGCAAAAGTTTATACAAGTACATTGTTTTATGAAGTACGGAAAGAAATCTATAAAGGTTCCTGGTACTGCCAATACGAACATCTTGGAACAAAAAATGGATGAGAGTTATACAAAGTGGAACAACTGAACAAAAACAGTGATCTAAAAACAGAATTTGAGGTAATATATTCTTATTTTAAATTTTGTTGAATCAGCACATAATATAAAAAAATATTCAGTTATGATTATAAAACACTTAATGCTTTAATTTTATTTTGAACAGGTAGAAATAAAACTTCCAACCAATGATGTAAAATGTACTTGTGAACACTTCAACCGCTTTGGGACTTTGTGCAGACATGCATTCAACATACTCATGAAACATGAAATTAAGGAGATACCTGAACAGTACATTGAGAATCGTTGGAGAAAGGATGTGATATCAAGGCACTATAATTTTGGTAGACATGTATATGATACAGGAGACAGTGAAATTAACAGATCTGTCAATCAAGCATACTACAACTTTGAAGCATGTTTGGAATACGTAAGAAAAAATAAAGAAAAAATGGATTTGTTTGTTAAGAAAACAGAAAGCATGCTGAAGGAATATGAAAACGATCCTAAAATGAATTGCAGAAGAATAGGACAGATGTTGAAGAGGTAGGAAAGCTTATGGGCATATCTATTCCAAAAGACATTGACATCAATGTTCCAAATGTTCAAAGCAATAAAGGATGCGGAAAGAAAAGTAGAATTCAAAGTGCAGCAGAAATAGCGTATAAAAATTCAAACAAGCAAACAAGAAGATGCTCAGGATGTGGAGAAAGGGCTCCTCATAACTTGCGGACATGCCCAATCAAACTTGCAGCAGAACAATCATCAAAAGCTACATAGATATTTACTGCTTTAATCAGTAATGAATAAGTCATGAATTTTTTTCAAAATAATATACTTTTTGTTTAGTACACTTTACTCTTTTATAAAACAGAATTAACTATGATTTTGTCTACTGGATTTAATCTACTTTGATAATTCTTTCTTTGATTTGATAATATATTCATTCATGATTAAACTTTTATTAAATGTTACTACAAGCATTTAAGATTACATATAAACTGTTATTCAATACATGTAATCATTACACATAACCATATACAATATTCATCTGTATAATCATAAAATATTATGTAATACTACTTCATATGTTTTGTTTAATCATAAGTGATTAAAAATATGATTACACATAAAAAACATCTAACCATTACATATAACCATATACAACAACATCGTTCCTAACAAATATACAACACTGCTCATAAAAAATCTAAAGATAACAATATTCATCATCATAGAATAACATCAAACATGATAAAATCTTCAATAACAAACAATTTCACAAGTCTCAAATATCACGTTCCCCATTTTCCAAGATTCTTGTTCTTCATATTCCTAGCTAGATTTTCATACAGATTGTAGCTGACTCCAAGAACTCTTCCACCATTACTTAGAAAGATTATCTCCATTGAACATAACAAATCTTTACTACATATCTGATGTAGAGAAATGTTGTTCATTAAAAAGAAATATTCTTTAAATGAACAACATTCCTATACTTCAAAGACATCTAGTAAAGATTTGATATGTTCAATGAAGATAAAAATTTTAAGTAATGGTGGAAGAGGCGTTCTTGGAGTCAGCTACAATCTGTATGAAAATCTAGCTACAAATAAAAAAACAAGAATCTTTAAAAAAATGGGGAACATGTTATTAGATACAGCAAAATTAGTTCTTTTAGACTTATAGACTCCATATTTTACCTGAAACAAAATGGAAGTTGTTTAGATCATAAATAAATAATGGTGATATATAAAAATTGAAGAAATTAATAAACAAAACTAACCATTTGGAAGTATAAGGACTCATCTTTGAAGAAATATAAGGGGTAGCACGAGGCTACTCCCTTTATACAAACATAATCACTTATCAAAAATACAATATATGGTTGTACAAATCAGTTTTCATTTAGAAAGAAAAGATTCTTCAATACAAACACTAAAAAACAAAACTAAAATATTACAAAGATAAGATTCTGCATGGTGATGTATTTCATGCAGTAAAGATAAGCTCACTTATCAAGAAAAAGATAGAATAAATTATAATGTGTTGTACAACAAATATAATCATTTATGATTACAAAAACATAAAAAAATAATCGATACAATCACTAATGATTACATATAAGCAACATATAATCAATACTAAAAACATAAATTACATATAAAAATATAACATAATCACTTATGATTAACATTCAATAACATAATTCACACAAACAAACTTACATAATAAAATCCACCAAAATACATATTAACTTGTTTTCCATCACCATGTTTTCCATCATCATAAAAACAAACATTCTTCACAATATCCATAACATACACAACATAAACAAACTTGTTCTTATAACATCATCAATAAGAAAATATTCAATCAAAAAAAATTGACAACCTTCTTTCTATATTCCATTGAGTATCATATGAATGCTTACCACGAATCTTTTGATCAACTTTTTGATACTCATATGCAGCTTTCAACACATCATCACGCTTTGTATTAATCTCAGAAGTTAAAATTGCTGCTGCATATTTCATTCTCAACTTTTCCAGAATTTTTCTTAAGAACCACCTTCTTTTGGAAGACCACATTTCCATTTAGAACCTTTTTCTCCAAAATAACTCTCCATATGTCTCATAGCAAAAACTCCACAATCCACTTTGTTATAAACTGTCCTCCATGGCATTGTCAATCTTACTGGAGTAAGATTTTTATCAGCCATTTCATTTGCTTTAACATGATCGATCTCTTTTAGATACTTCAAAAAAGACTTTTTCTGAAAATCATATATGATTTCAAGTCAGAAAAATATAAGTATAATAATTATAAAACATATCATATATGATTTCAAATCTAAAGAATAAATATCATTTGAAACTTACAAGAGGTTTAAAAACTGCACCATACTTATCATCGAAATCAGCATCATCTGCACCATTATCGATAACCTCAAAAGCACGTTTCTTCAGATTCATAACAATAAGATATATGTGCTTATGCCTCAAAACCGGGAAAAATACCTAACATCAACATGTATAATATTATAAATAATATATATATATATATATATATATATATATATATATATATATATATATAAATGTATAAAAAAATAAATATACCATATCAACATCCTTCAAAACCTTCAAGTCTCTATCACCAGAAACACTGCGAGAGAAGCTGTCCTTGAAAACTTTATATTTTGCAGTTTCATTCAAATGAGTATATTCAAATGACAAAGTCTATAATATAAGAAAATCATAAATGATTATATAATAACATGTAAATATTTAATAAAAAAATTATTAATGATTATCAACATATGAAAAGAAAAGAATAAAATAAAAACTTACAGTGTCAGAATTCATGAACAATCTGAGTGGAGAATTAACAACATCTCTGAATTTCTCTTGATGATTTAGTATACGAGACCATGAATCAAGAACACTAACATGCAAATGAGTTTTTTTAAAAAGACTTTCATAATTAGCTCTAAAACCAATAACATATGTTTCCATAAGCAATACAATATCCCTGTATATATTTAATTAAATGTTATTTAAAATAAAAAATTATAATTATAAAAATAAAAAATTATATTAAAAAAATTACCCTGGATTTCCTTGAAGATTGAAAAGCCATTCACAAACAACATTTTCTACTTGTGTCAAACTAGGTTTAAAATCAATTAACTTTTCCTTAAATGGTGACTTATAAACATAAGAAAACTTCATTTGTCTTTTTCCTTTGATATCCACTACTGATGTTGCTTCTTCATTTATATCTTTAGGTTTGCCAGAAACAGGTTTTGATGGTCCTTCTAATGTACCCAAAGGGGGTGCAAAAGAAACTGGACTAGCATCAATAACATCAACATTTGGAATAACACACTCTGGACCAGCACTTGGTTTTCCCAAAATAACTCTATCCTTAATCTTTTTCTTTGTCATCCGTTCAGAAGAAATTTGACTTTGAGATGACTTCTTGGAACCTTCAGAATCTTGACTAAATCCAAGACTAAAACTTGGAATAATATCATTTTTCAATGATTGAGTCTCATTTGAATCCTTGTTTTTATTTGAACAATCTTCAACATTTTCTACCCAATAAAATTATAAAAATCATATATGAATAAACAATAATTATAAACACAATTATATATGAATAAACAATAATTATAAACAAATTACCTCCATCTTTATTTTTATGATCATCCTCACCCAAATTTACAGTCCCTAAATTATAAAAATCATAAATGAATCATCTATATATAACATATTTATATATTTTTTATGTATTAAAAATACATAAATAAATATTTACCATCATCAATACAAGTCAAATTCAAATTCACATCATCTTCAACTAGTTTCTGATTTAAACAACCATTAGTACCTATAAAATTCAAATATAAAAAATTAAAAACATATATGATTAAAGTATATATAATAATAAAATATGCCTACCTTGATCCAAAATTTTAAGAAATCTTTCAACAACTGGATCGCAAATAAATTGACTAAAAGATACACCTTCTTGGCTTCAATTAGACCCACACTCTTAGTAACATTTTCGACAACAAAATTTAAATTCATGGCCTCTTATTTATTACATCCACTTCCATTTCCTTGTTCATCATCTTCATCATCATCACCTTTACCTTCAACATGATTTTTACCAATATTGCCCTCATGTGGATCACTTCCATCCCCCTGACCACCAGAACATTTCCCTTGATCATAATCTTCAACATTTTCATCATCATTAAGAAAATCATTCCCATAATCTTCATCATTAACTTGAACAAAACCAGGTGTTAATATCGGTTCTTTATATTTTTGTGAAACATAATTGAAATCAAAACTTTCTGTGCTTAAATCTTCAATAGGAAATAATAATTTCCAATTTTTCAAATTTTGACTTTGAGGAAACTTCAACACTCCCTCATCTATCTTTACAACAAGATCCTTTTTCAAATCCTTAATCTTCTGATACATACATGAAATTTTACTTTCATACACCTACATAAGAAAAAAGATACTTACAACTAAAATACTTAAACATAAAAAGTCATAAATGAATAAACTAATTAAATCATAAATGAATAAAACTATAGAATTACCTCCACATCACTAACTTTATTAACATCAAAATCTTCTTCATCCTCATCACATAAATCCTCTTCACCATCAGATTCAACCTCATCACCACCAGATTCCTCCTCATTATACTCAAATTCTTGAAATTCTTCTTCAACATATGCTTCATTAACATGTCCACATCCAAATCCTCCACTCTCTTGTAAAATATCCTCAAGAAACGTTATCTTCTCTGACGACCAATAAAAAATAGTTGGACGTTTACGTGTGACTTGCAAATGATCAAACTTGAAAGTATCCACATACAACAACTACAAAAAGCATATATAACATCATAACATATATAACATCATATATGATTTTGATGTGTAATATATAATTATTAAACAAAAATTATACTACATAATCATATATCATATATGATTATATGTAATAAAATCATATATGAATTATTATAAAAACAAACATATTTTTACAACTAAAAAGAATAATAAATATAAAAAAATAACTCACGTACCATAAGGTATGTTGCTGGTCCATAAAAGAAAGAAGATTATTTCTCTGGATTGTAAACCTTCTTCGTCCTTACCAAACAATCCACAATGTAATCGCACCAGTCAATGCTACTTAAATCAGTATCTCTTCTGATTAAATACGATGGATTCAGATTATATTTACCCATGCTTGTAGACTCACAGAAAGTGTTAATAAAAAGAACCAAAAAATTGATTCTGAAGTTGTCATCCGCAGCACTAGTTTGAACAAGTTCATTCTTTAGCTGTTTCAATCTCAATTTATCAATATTTTCATACTGTTTCTTCCACTCAAACATACAGCTCTCTTCATTATTCTCCGAAATGTAATCCATGTTTGAAAGTAATGAGCCACCAGATGGTAATCCTAACATCTCTTGAACAGACTTACTATCAACACTAACTTCACAATTATCAAACTCCACCTTCAAAGATTCAAAATTAAAATGATCAAGAACATAATAAACAATCTTCAACGGTACGTCAATCATCTTCATCCCTAACAAACTCCCAAATCCCATAGCCCTAACACAATCCTTCTGTTCTCTACTTAAACCTTGAATAACACCCAACAATGACCCGGGTGAACATCTATTCTTCAATGAAGGAAATTCTTTTATAACAGCAGCTTGTTTATCTTTCTTCAAAACTTTAGTTTCTCTCTTTGGTTTCTTTGAAGATCCAGGACGACTCTGAAAATCTGAATCATCTTCATCAGATAGTTCACGTTTTTTTACTTACAGTTTTGACCTTAACCCTCAGCTTCACTTTTGGTTGTTCAATAACTGTTTTTTTGGATGTCTTTGAATGTGTTTGCGACACCTCATTCGTCTTTTCTCTTTTGGAAGATGACCGTGTCTTCCTTGAGCTATCTACATTCCCTTTTTTAACTACAATTTTCATTACAAACATAGTGTTAGTAAAAAATAAAACATACATTTATCATTACTATTCACTAATGATTATAAGCAGACGTATAAAATCATTTATGATTAGAACAATAAATAAAAATACAACTAAAGTTATATACAATCCACTTAAAAGAACCACAAAATCAGTTATGATTACAAAAATAATTTTATATTCATGTTTGATACATAAAAATACATTTATCATTATTATTTACCAATGATTATAAACAAACGTATAAAATCATCTATGATTAGAAGTAGAAATAAACATATAACTAAATGTTATGTTCAATACACTGGAAAAATCAAAAAATCAGTTATGATTACAAGAAATAACTTCAAACATTAAGTTATATGTTTATTTCTACTTCTAATCATAGATGATTTTTTTGAACTGTACCTTCGGAAATAACAACACTTATACCGCATTCGATATTTTTTTGATTTTTGAATTTTTTTCGAACATAGTTTCTTTTGAAATCCTTATCTGTGAAAATATAAACAAAAACCACCACAAACAAACATAATAAAAAACATATCAACTCTAAACGAGACAATCATCAAAATCAAGTTAAAATGACGAAAAACCTACTGAATAAAAAAAAAACATCATTATCAACATAAAACGACAGTTAACTAATTAATAAAAACATGCATTATCAATAAAATGAAAAATAACTCGCATTCTAACCTTTCATTTCGATTAACGAAGATGCGACTTCGTTTATATTTTCTCCTGAAGACATTTACTGATTTCTCAATAACAGGTAAGAAACGAAAACTAGGACAAAATACGATAAAGAAAGAAAAAGAGGGTTTCCTGAGAGTTCGAAGTGAGACTTTGATCAAGAAAGAAAAGAAAACAATAGGCGGTTACAGTATCGTAGCCTGCAAAATTCATATCAATCTTTGTAAAATTACAACAATAGCCCCACAATCGTAAATTAACGGCGTTAGTTTAATAAGTTACCAATATAATTACAAATATGTCACCGCATAGTTTCAGAAACAAACATAAACACATCAAACGGTTATACACATATCTCACAATCTCTATTTTTTTTCTTGGAACCGATATATATATATATATATATATATATATATATATATATATATATATATATATATATATATATATTTATTTATTTATTTTTTTCTGAAAATTATCCAATCCATCAGATTTTTTTTTCAATTCCAATAGGTTAAACCATTTCTTTTTTTTTTTTTTTTTCATTTTCCAACGTACCAAGTACCAAACACTACCGCAGCATTGGACTTGAAAATATATTTTTTTATTTTAAGGTCTTTGCTTTATCAATAAAAGTTATTAAAAACACCTTTTATGTTTTACTAACGCTTCCTTCAATATTTTGAATTTCTTTCTTTTAATATCATAGAGACGTGGCTCCTAAACTAGGCGTAGTCCGAAAAAACCCAGTCCTAGCAAAGGCCCAGTCAATACAGAGAAAAACAAGGGCCCAGTTCTAGGTAGTAAAAGTTCAGTCCAAATATGAAATATTATAGTACCTTACTATTCGAGTAAGTTATCATATAGTATATATTTTTTTTATCAAATGAAACATTTGTTTTCACATAACTATTATCATTAAACCTTTTGCTTTTTTTGGACTTATTTTTTACCTTTTAACTGGAAATAGTGAATTACAAATGACCGTAAGAAATTTACCCCCCCCCCCCCCCCTTTTTTTTTATTATTCCTTTTTTCTTTTACATTTATAGATATGAAACTAGTCTCTTTGCATACACATAGGGTTAATAAAGAGTTTTTTCAAATTAAAATTAGGAAACATGTTTTTGATTTTGTCTTCTTCGAATTTAAATCGAATTGTTTTCTTCGTGTTTTGAACTTGAAATAATATTGTCTTTTTTTTTTTTTTTTGGAACGTTTGAGTATTATAAAAGCACTAGCAAAGATGTAGAGCAAAAAGAAATTTACATCATATGTTTAAAATAGGATTTTGAAGCCATAAGTTTCAACGTGAAACTTATGTTTTCTATGTACAAACCAACAAAAATAAAACACCACAATATCATCAACGAGCCTATCCTTTTTCGGTCTAGAATAAAAAACGCATTTATTCCATATTATATGTGTGACAACCATAAGTTAATGTGTAATCATCTATAAATAAGATGGGTATCTTTAGTTGTGAAATCACCTTTGTTACCCGAGTCCCAAATCCCAATTATGAGGACATTAAAGGTAGCGTTTGGTACTGGAACTGGACAAAACAATGTTGGACTGAACTGGACGGAACTGAACTGGACTGGACTGATTATTTGTGAAGTGTTTGGTAGAAGTGGGACGGGACTGAACATAATGTTAAAATAACTATATTTTCCTTGAAAGGTATATATGTTTAATTTGTAATATATATATATATATATATATATATATATATATATATATATATATATATATAATAAACGTCGCAATTCATATGCACACAATGTTGATCCATTAATTATTAAGGTATCTTCATAAAGATTTCAAGTATATGATTTATAATATTTGAGTTGTAAAGTTAGAGAAAAACTAAATGGAAAATTGATGGAATCACAACACAGTTGATAAAAATTATATTTTCTATGTTGGTTGTTGTTAGATATTGACAAAAAAAAAAAAAAATAGGTAATAGGTAAAAAAAGTTGAAGAAACTTACTTGCAATAATGGTGTTGACGGAAAAAAAAAAGTTTGGAATCTATTGAGAATACTATGTCTATCATGGAGTTTAACAACATAGGAAACAATAGAGGACCGCATACCTTTCATTACTAAACCCCGAGCACCCACAACAAAACTGCATGTGCATCATGAATCGATTTAATAACCATGACCCAAAGCATGTCAGGGTTATTCTCAAATCACCAATGCCATTTTAATAGCAAAGACTCCTTAAACACTAATTTTGTAATCGAAAATATTTGAAGTTTATATACAGGTTCACAATTTCCTACCAAAATATATTGGATTAGATTACATTCTCGTTATGTTATTTTAAAATGTCTATTGATAATTATATGAATAACTAAATTTTTAGGTATTTTCATAAATGACCATCAATTTTGAAAGTGAGCATTTTCGGGATGGTATATAATTTGTGATTTTCTTTCATTTGTACCAAACACTTTAAAAAAAATTATTTTCTCCTTTAATTTTGAAATGTCTAATATGTTTAAAATTTTCACATGGATTTAAAATTTCAAAGTTAGTTAATTTGAAATTATTCAAAAAAAAATATATATTAATTAACTAATTAGAACATAAGTTGGGTCTAAATTTTTAGGATAGCAATTAAATGACGACTTTTGGATAAACTCATTTAATTTGGATATTGGCTTATTTGTGAGGAATTATATAACATGGTTAGGTTAAGGGGAGTCGTCATCACCAACCTACTAGAAACGTATTGTTAGTTCAGCGTCACATCAAGAAAATTATTGTTAGTTCAGCGTCAAGTCAGCTCCACTACAAGCTCACTACCAAACCACTGACCTTTGGAAATGGTTACCACTCCATATTATTTATTTATTTATTTATTTATTTATTAAATTGTAACATCCTGATTTCCGAGGTATAACATTTCAATAGGCAAGTATGAGTTTGCTTGGGTGACTCGACGAGTTGGTGCCTCAACTCGTCGAGTAGGGTCGCGACTTGGTGACGTGTTTAATGAGTGGACTCGACGAGTCGGGTATCTGACTCGCCGAGTCAGCGTTGCTGAGGGAAACCCTAATTGCTCGGGTTTGTGACCTATTTAAAGGCTCTTATGGCCTTCATTTGCGGCCACACTTCCCCTTGAGAGACCCCAAATCGATCCAGAGAGCTTAGAGAGATAGAGGGAGCTAATTGCTTCATTTTGGTGCATTCTTGCAAGGAAGAAGGAGAATGTTCAAGCTTGACTGACTAGAGGGGCTCAGATCTTCCACTATTTTATTCAAGGCTGCTGTTGGAGGTATGAATCCATACCTGTTTCCATATGATTTGTAGATCTCATGAACTTAGGGCTTCTTTACCCTCTTTTAAGTTGAGATATGATCATGTGAAGTCCCTTTGAGGTTTAGACACCAGATCTGGACCTTGAGAGGTCCAGATAGTCCCATGAACCCAACTTTATGCAGTTACATAAGAATATTGAACCAAAGACACCATTTTAAGGGTTATTTTGTCAATTAGAGCTAGATGAGTGATGCATGGTCATAAAGGTCGAACATTTACGTGATTAATGAGCCTTGAGTGCATAGATCTGAAGTTTGGGAAAGTGTCTTGCACTAAAATGGCTGAATGCAAAAGAGTCTGAATAGACTCGCCGAGTCGAGTCGCTGGGCGAGTAGCCTAGGGTTTTATCCCGATGAGCTGAGTCAGGTGGTGACTCGACGAGTTAGGGGTTAGCTCGTTGAGTTGGAGCTTGTTGGGGTTGCCATGAATCGACTGGACTCGACGAGTCGCCCGAGTGCACTCGACGAGTCTGGTCAAAAGTTGGACTGTTGACTGGAGTTGACTTTTGTTGACCTTAGGGTTTGGTCAAGATGAGTGTAAGAAGTCTGGAAGGGTAGAATGGTCTTTTACCCTTCTGAGAGAGAGCATAGGAAGGGTATAGGCTAGCCTTTGAGAGCCATTGTTAACTAGAGGTAATTTTTGTATGTGATTAGGCGGAGGCTAGATCAGTGTTTAGAGTACGAGATCATCCGAGTTTACCCGAGGTGAGTCTTCTCACTATACGTTACCTAGAGTGGTATTTATGTGTGACCGGAAGGTCTTATGTGCTTGCTTGTGCATCTTGTCTATGTGATATTATGCTATGAATTATTTAGACCGGACCGGAAGGTCCAACGACTTGCGAGGCCGGAAGGCTCAACCAGACCGGACCGGAAAGTCCAACGATTTATGATGCCGGAAGGCTCAACCAAACCGGACCAGAGGGTCCAACGAGTTAGACCGGACCTACGGGTCCAACGAGCTACGGAACTGGAGGGTTCCGCTGAGACACAGTGACCAGAGGGTCTTACAGAGTATAGCCTCGAGTGGCGAATTTGTTGTATGTGGTATTTTGGGGAACTCATTAAGCTTCGTGCTTACCGTGTTATGTGTTATGTGTTTCAGGTTGTTCTCAGGATCGCGGGAAGGCACCGACTTGATTGTACACACCAGTGAGAGAGTTACGTTTTGAGGATCGTGGATTTTAACCGAGTAATTAAGAAGTTTTGAGTTGTAAACTTAAAAAAAGAGATTTTTGTGAAATACATTATGAGAATTATGTGATTTAAAATGAAAAATTGTTTTGAAAATTCACGTCGTTACATAAATTAAATAAAAAAATTTTAAAACATAAAGCTTAGCCAATCACATGCGAAGAAACGGTCAAAAAAAGGCTTAACCAATCACATGCGTCGTCTTCGTCTGTCTTCATGACCACTTCATAGTCAAGCAACCAGACACCGGGGCGGTGTTCACGCGTAACTTGGTTGTCCACCTCAGCTCTCATGCCGTCACGCGTCTTTTTGGCACCCATTCTGGATAGCCTTAGAGTAGAAAATATGAAATTAAAAATGTTAATTAGAAAGTCATCCTATCAATTTAAAACAAAGCTCAAACACCTAAAGTGTAAAAGTCAAGAAATGTGTATGAAAGAGAATATAAAAGGAAAGTTGGTTGAAATTGATGCAATTTTCGGAAATGGGGATGGTAATGATCAAATTTCCATGCAACATCGGAATTTCATA